AAGGATCCGTTTTATTTTTATACGCTACCCGCAAGGAGCCTGCCCGCCCCAGGGTGCGCCGAGCAGTGCCCGAATCCCTGCGGGAACCAAGCGGAGGGGCAGCGCGCGAGAAACGTGCGCGAGCGCGGGGAAAAGCTGCGCCCGGAGCCCTTGTTCGCGGCGGGCTCCCATGAAAACGCCGGCCTTGGCCCATGGTTGCACCCTGACCCGCGAGGCCCCGTCCAAGGGGCGGCTGCTGCCTCCTTCTCTGCCGCCTGGTTTGCGGGGAGCAGCCCGGGCTGTGGGGAAATTCAGTGCCTAATGATTGTAATAGGGAGTGAACAGCTCGGTGATCCCTGGGAATCTAGGTCGTATCTAATTTACCTTTATGGGTGCTTGTACTGCAAAGAAAATGATTTGAGAGCCGGTATTTCAAGGTGCTAAACAAAGGCTTCACGTCCAACTCAGTAATAACTAGTTATCTTTACCATTGCACTTCAGTCAATCACCTTTAAACCTTGTGTATGTGTTTTTTTTTTTCTTGAATTCTGAACTGTAGATTTCTTTATGCTATTGGCTGATATTACTCTTCTTTTTGCTTTGCTGTGTTTGAAGTAGAGGGCACAGTTCAACCCTGCCCAGGGAAGTTCTTGCTTTATAGTTGCCCATCCAGCCGTCTCGTTTCTTCCTTCAGTGCTGCAGCTTGTCGGGCAGGAGCTGTGTTGGCCCACGCTCGAGTGTAAGTCAGGTTCACGGCTTGAGGGGCCTGTCACTAATTCAGAGCCCAGCGGTAAGTGGGAATTGCTCATGTTTCTAGCAAATATCAATTTCAATTTTAACATTCCAGTGTGAACTTACTCTGCTTACTTTTTCTCCGAACACCTGGGAGAAGTTTAGTGTGCTAATTATGTTGCTGTGGGTGCTTGAGTGCACCCCTGTTGTTCTCTGCTGTGTTGGGAGTCAGTTCTTGGCTCCTGCGTTTGGCTCTATGTGTAACTACTCACAAGACATCACCTTTCCCGCAGCCCCCTCGCTACTGGTGCGCTTTTGCTCTCCTGGGCAGCACTCCATACCTTACTTTTTTGTTTATTTGGTTACTTATTTTTATAGGGGAGTAATGGGCAGTGGGAGTTTTTAATAAATAGCTGTGATGAAGAATCAGACCAAATGTTTATCAGAATGGAGACAACCAGAGGCTGCCGCACACTTCAGGTTATGCAGCAACACAGCTGAATCTCTGGATTTACTGCTTGTAGGCTCTGTCTGATGAGGTTGGCCCCACTGCAGAGCCCCCACTGAAACCTGTAAGGGCTCCCTTTCTTCATAGTAAGGTAAGATGCTTTTTGGCCTTACGGAAGTTAAGAGTACTTGAGAAACTGCTGCTCTAGACACCTGGCAGGGAATCTTCTCGTTTGCTTGTGTGAATATAGATCAGGGTCAGAGCGTGTCTGAGAGCAACTGGTGCTGAGCTGCCTTTTCCTGAGCAAGGTCAGGAACAGTGAGGCTGCTGGCTTGCAATGAAGTGGGAGAAAAGAGGGTCTGAGAGGACGTGCTGCATGCTAAACTCTTTTCTCACCCATACCTTTCCATTGAGAAAAACGGTCCTCCTGAGAGGAGAATTTTGGATGACTGAAACTATTAAAAGGTTACTTGGTAGCAATTTAAGTAAAAAATTTAGGAAATAAATATGGTGTTGCCTATAAAAAGAAATATTTTCATTCAGCAATTCCGCTTTTAGCTCCAAGCATCCTCATTCCCTGTTACCTTGCTTTAGGGTACATGACTGGAGCAGTTGAGCGGCAGTGGGAGAGCAGAGACAGTCCTGGCAGGTACTTGGTTCAGCTGGTGTGAGCATTGCAGGGTCGGAGAGCAGAATCAGTATCTGCGAGCTAAATAAAGGTCAAAATATGTGCCAGAGAAATGTAACGTCTCAGCCTGGCTTGAAGGACTTTCCGATAATTTTGAGAGAAAGTACTTAAAATAACTGGTTCTCATTTATCTGCAAAATTAAGAGTTCAAAGCACTCAGGCTGCTGGAGAAAGGAGGTTGCCTCTCCAAGCTGCAGATCGCTGATGTGCCGCCCGATTGCGCTCTCCACGGTGGCTCTGTTCTCAAATAACTCCATCAATTCATGTTATTAAAAGGATTCCCAGCATTGCTTCCTTTGAACGCTCCATGTCTATTTTAAATCAATTCCCTGATAATAGCTAATCTTAGGATTTTAAATTGCATTACAACTTGCTCTTTTCAGTCTGTGTGTATTTTTACGTGTAATTGCCTGTGTTTCTTGCTTCTTGAGTTGTTCTGATTTTGTGTTCATGATGGATTCTGCGCTGCATGTTTGCAAGGTGCTGCAGATTGGATGTGTTTTGCACTGTCTCTAGGGAAGCGAGTTACCCGCAGGCAGCTGTTCCTGTGAGTTTCTGTTACTCGGTGCCATGGGATTGCTCACAGTCAGGAATTATTGCAGAAGAGTGTTCGGATGAAAGTTCCCAGGATAAGGAGTAAATTTCCTAGACCAGTGATACTCTTTTTTTGTGTTAAGTTTTTTTTGTTCCCAGGATAAGGAGTAAATTTCCTACCAGTGATACTCTTTTTTTGTGTTAAAGTTTTTTTTTGTGTGTGTGTTTAGTGATAGATAAGAAGGTTCCTCATGCTGAGCAGATTGTGTTTGTGGTTAGGCTGTTAACACATAAATTTGCTTGCAGGCTTACTGTCATATGTTCCTTTGGGCTGGACTAGGAGAAACTGAGAATAAGCAAATATAAAGCCAGGCAAAACCATGTAACTAGTAGCAGAGGGTGGTTTCAGTCAAAAGTAACAGTACAGCACTGCAATTTGTCCATTGTATCACATGCAAAAGATAAAGTTTGCAAACAAGTTAGACGGTTGCAAATCATCTTTTAAGGGCCTTGGATTTTCTGGGGTTTTTTTGTTTGTTTGTTTTTGGAGTTGACATTGACACTGTGTAACCAATCTTTATGAAGACAAAAAAAGGCAAATACTCAAGTACTGACCTTAACATGGAGTGTCATGTGTTGGAGCAGATCCGCATGCCATCATAACAGAAGAACTTGTGGCCGAAGCACATGAATATGGTTTAATTCTTCCTTTGGAAATGAACACGATCTCTCCTTCATAAATTGGTACCATGTGAAGTTTGTCTTAAAGGGAATGCTTATTGCAATTAACATCTTGATCCCAGTTAACTTGGGGTGACTGAAAGGCCTTTGTACGTCAAGCAAATGGAAGTGAAGTGTGTGAGACTGAGCTAGACTGTGGAAGTTATTAAATATTTTTTATTTATGCTATCTTGAAGAATGAATCTGGCTGGAAGTAGTAAAGGGAAATGTCTTGGGACTGATACAGCTCTGGAGTGGATGTTGATAAATGCCTTTTTAGTGAAGATGGAGTTTATTGTCTTTTTTGCTGCAAGGAAATAGATTGAATTTGTCCAGCTTATCTCAGGCTTTGCTGCAGGAAAACGTATGGGTTTTTTGTCTTGTTTCTATGCATTTCTCTTCACATTCCAAACATGTTTGATCCTGGAGGATACATTTCATCTGACTGACCTTTAAAGCTACAGGCCCGCTCAGTAAACACCGATAAATTAGGCAAAGGAAACACGTTGTTTAACCGCGCTTTATATACGGAACCTCTCCTTTGCTGATGCTTCGTTCTTGCCCACGAACATCCTCTTCTCATCGGAGCATTAATGTAAGCATGTAAATCTTGCTTAGCTTGCCATATAGCGTGTGAGCTGACCTAATTAACTTTGCATTCCCAAGAACAGGCTGGAATTTTCATTAAAGTCCCTAGCACTTGGTAAGTAGAAAAAGGAACCTCCCCAGATCTTGTACATGGTAGCGTGATCCAAGGGTGGTTCTTTATAATTCTCGTTTTGTTGTTACTTCCTCTTTTTTTCTTTTTCTCCTCTCTCCATGACCCGCTGCTTTGCTTGAGGAATCCCCGATGTTTTTGCCGGAATGTCCGTGCGATGCCCAGATTCCCTTGGTTTGGTGCGGCTCAGGCGGGCCGCGAGCCCCGCTGGTACCGGAGGCGCTGGGCGACGGCCGCGGCGCGCGCGGCCTCCCCTTCCTCGCCTGTTACGTGTCCTCTGACGTCATCGCGGCGCTGCGCTCCGGTTGGCCGGCGGCTCCCGCGCTCTGCTGATGTCAGAAGGAGCCATCGTCTCCCTCGCTGCTGCTGCTGGGGGCTCTGCAGGTGCCGCTGGCCCCGTCGCGCGGCCTTCAGCGGCGCTGGCCGCTTGTTGTCCCGCTCACTGGTGGCCCTCGGGGGCTGTTGAGCGTGATGGGCTTTTCACAGTGGTGCTATAAAACTGTCTAATTTGTTCTTGTGTTTTTCTTCTTTTGTGTTGTAGTTTTTTCTCTCATTAAAATCAAATTAGGGTGGCTGCCGTGTGCTCATGTGATCTGTTGGAGGGAAATGACTGAAAACCATAATTTAGCCTCAGTGGAGCCTTTTCTTAAAGAGTATCTTGTGCTCATAACGCCATTTGGAATTGCTGTGCTTAAAGTGATTACGGTGACTTCCATATTTGAAGCGATCAGCTGGTTACCTCAACCTCCCCATCCCTTCTGCCTTACTGACGTGTTAAGGGAAATGCCAGTGTGGGTGTTGGTTCTGACACAGCAGATATTTGTCTGTGTCAGCTCTGAGCAGATGTCCCAACATTAACCTTAACGAAGGCGGCAGAGACTTTTAAGTGGCTTGTAAATATAATATAACTTGTTTTCTCTCCATGAATGAATTTCCACAGGAGCTCACAGTCAGTTCACATCTCTGTGCTTCTCTAAATGCAAAGCATGTTTGTTTTTCAACACTTAGCTGCCGTAATGTAACCGGGTAGTGCTAATTAAAATTGCCTACAGTATTAACCTTCTGCTCTGCCACGCACGTTCTCTCCCCAGAGAGAAGATGCAAAATAAACTGCATGTTGCTGACCCGCTCGCCTTGCTCAATGGGCCAGCAGGAAGCGCCCAGCTGCTGCGGCCTTCTTCTAGGCTGGCTCTTACGGGGCGCTCGGAATGCCCTGGAATTGGAGGGCTCCGCGTGCTGAGGGACATTGCCTTGACACCCGCTGCAGTCATCTGCCAGCACCGATTAGTTTTTACTGGAGGGGCTGAATGCCTGCAATTTAACAGCTTCTCGGGATGCTGGCGAAACTAGCACCGCTTCAGCCTTTGTGGGCCCTCTGTCTGACAGTGAAACCTGAGGGGAGGATGGGTTCAAGGAGGGTGGGAGAAATGGTGGTTTTCTGGTGCGTTAAATTGAAGATATGGTGTTTGACAAGCTGCAACGCCTCTGCGCAAGAGCTTTGGTGTTGGGGAAGACTTTTTGTCATGAGCGGTGTTTTTTCTGTTGCCGTTTTCTTCTGATTTTATTTTTTGGCTTTTTCCTTCCGTGTGTTAACTCATAAGAGTGATTGGGACTGAAAGGCTTTAAAGTCTTGCCGAGAACTTAAATATTGGCAATTAAGTTTCCTAAAGAGCTCAGTTTGCAGAGTGCAGCTGGCTGAGTTTGTTGCTGTGGAAGTGCAACGAATAGTCTGCAACAGAGCAAGGAAGGGAATCTCATGGGTAAAACTAGGATGCTGTTCCAGGGGGCTGGGTGTTAATCCTGGTCTGGCTTCCTGTAGCAGTCACGTTGCTTAAACTGTTCTCCCCTTGCAATCACTGTTCTCTTTCTCTTCCCTCCCTTGATTTGAACATATGAACTGCTATGACATGCCAGGAACTTAAATTGGGTCACAGCTGTCTTAAAGTTAGG